CGATGCGGGGCTCGATCCCAGGACCCTGGGATCATGACTTGAGCCGAAGGCAGACACTTAACCGACTGAGCCACCCAGGCGCCCCCACCTATACATTATATGTTAGTCTGACAGACATGAAATATGCCCACACAGGACTACAGAAGAACTGGTTAACATCAGTGCCTCTGGTAACGCAGGGCGTGTGGAAGGAAATTTTTTTCACTGTGTGCTCTATTGTAGCCTTTGAATTTTGAATCATGAGTTTATATCTCTTCACAAATGTAAACTAAATTTAAATTTTGAAACAAACAAATAAAGATTTAAGGAGCCTCATTGCCCTTCACAAACCCCATTTTTATACAGCAGTGAATGTGGAAGGAGACTAGTTGTACCAGAGTTGCAAACCCAAATACCTAGAAAGGCCAAGGAGATAAATGAGTGACAGAGCTGGTGTGAGCGATAGGGAGTGGTGGGGACTGTGGCAAACTAGAAAGCAGAGGCCTTCTCTGTGGTGGCAACACGATTCTGCACTGGCTGGTCAGGCCGTGCAGGAAGACTGCCCCGGGGAGCCCTTCTAGTTTTCAATAAAAGTCAAACATCCAGACTTTCATATGCATTTTCTCATTTTAAAACACGTGCTACACCCCCCACCAGAAAAATAAGTCTCTACCTGTGCCTGCAGGTCGCCAGTTTGCAATCCCTACTTCATTACTGTGGATTTTTTTTTTTTAGATTTTATTTATTTATTTGACAGAGAGAGAGACAGCGAGAGAGGGAACACAAGCAGGGGGAGTGGGAGAGGGAGAAGCAGGCTCCCCACTGAGCACAGAGCCTGACTCAATCCGAGGACCCTGGGATCATGATCTGAGCTGAAGGCAGACGCTTAACTGAATGAGCCACCCAGGCGCCCCTCTGTGGAATATTCTTATTGAGAGCCCCAGGGAACATTAGGGAGGGGCAACTTGCCCAGAGTCAAACAGTGCTTGCACAGGGCAAGGATGAAAAACTGGCACCCTGACTTCAGTTGCAACGGTGGTTAGTTAACAGTGACTTGTGGGGAGGTGAATGCATAGGGGGGCTGTCAAGACCTCTCGGGGACATAAGCATATTAACAAAGCCAGGGGCACAAGCCTGCTCTCTGAGGCCATTTTTTTTTTAATATTTATTTATTTGAAAGAGAGAGAGAGCACCAGCGGGAGGGGCAGAGGGAGAGGGAGAGAGAATCTCAAGCAGACTCCATACTGAGTGTGGAGCCCGATGCGGGGCTGGATCTCACGACCCTGAGATCATGACCTGAGCTGAAGCTAAGAGTCGTGTGCTTAACTGACTGAACCACCCAGATGCCCCTCTCTGAGGCCATTTTCCAAGTGGGATAGAAGCCCAGTGCAGAAGGATGAGCCCCTTCCACTCTCCTGATTCCACAACCACATAAGGCTGGCCTTGTCAGAGGCCAACGTCAAGGTGTAGAAGCAGGCTGCCAGACGGCAGGCTCTGATCGCTTGCCTCTGGCCTCCCCACCTCCCCGTCTGTGGCCAGTCCCTCCCCGCCCATTCTGTTGGTTCACACCTGGCCCAGCCTACAACCCAAGTCACAGCTGTCTCCCCTAATGTGTGTCAGGCCACACAGGGCAGAGGAAGGATTCAGCTCAAGGCTGGCTCATTGCCCTGAGCCGCAGCCCTTTCCTCCCCCAACAGGCTCCCCCCCCGAGGCCCATCCTCTGAGCCCCAGTTCCTTCACCCATGAAATGAAGCCAAGAAGACCTCTTTCTTAGGGTGAGTTACATAGGATAGAAGGGTAAGGAGACTGAAGATGAGAGACTTTTAGCCATCAAATTAGCAAAGGTTTTTAAATGACAATGTTCAGTGCTTAGAATGAAATGGGACATTTTCATATCCTGCTTCTGAGACTATATGCCAGTACAATATTTATGAAAGGTTATTTGAAAGTATATTTCAAAATGTATGTCAAAGTATGCCCGGCAAACCATAGAGACAGGACTCAGATGAGTGGTTGCCTTGGGCTGGAGAGTTGAGGGGCAAAGGGGCGTGACTGCCAATGGGTAGAGTTGCCCATGGAAGTGAAAAGTGTTCTAAAATTAGACCACGGTCATGGCTGCACAACTCTGAATATACTAAAAATCACTGAATTGTACTTTAAATGGGCTCTTAAATAATAACGTTATATGAGTCTTATCTCAATTGAGCTACTTTTAAATGCACAGATTTGTGTACAAACCTGTTTGTCTCAGCATCATTTATGATAGAAACAAAGTTTTCAACAATCGAAACATCCAGCATTGGGGTAAAATTAAAGCCCGTCTTGGGGCGCCTGGGTGGCTCAGTCCGTTAAGCGGCTGCCTTCGGCTCAGGTCATGATCCTGGGGTCTTGGGATTGAGCCCCACATCCGGCTCCCTGCTC